AATAAAACATTCAACTGATATACAAAAGGTGCTAGCACAATCCCTATAGAATTAATATATGAAATATGATGTAGATGCTATTGCTAATCGTCACAAAGAGGCTGATTTATTCTATCTACTTAGGGGCACATTTCTTTATTATCCTTTTATTTAATCGTTCAGAAATGGAATAAGGAAGTAGTTCATATATTATAAGGAGACATTATTAATATATAGTCTGTGACAAAATGGAAGAACCTTGCTAAGACGTCTGTCACGGCTTGTAGCGATTTCTTGCTAGTATTTGTCATGGTCTGTAATGATCGGGCGTCATGGCTGAGTATTTATGTAATATGACAGTTCAAATCTTGATACCATCAGCCATGAAATCACACTGGGCAAGTCATTACTGGCCGTTTGTTTGAGATCACCCGACTGATAGCATGTCGACTAAGTTGTGACATACGCCTGCTCTTGTGCCTAATATTGTAGCTAGTTAGTGTGTACGGAAAGCTCAAGTAATTAAACGTAAGAACTCTGCACCAGGCTGGTCTTCCATCTAGAGCTACATCTAGTATTAGTTGTAGGGAAGATATCATACTATTGAATCTGCCGCTAGGCAGCATTCCATATCACAAGACAAGGATATTCTTCCTTCCTATGATGATCTCTGGTAAGCGTCTATGATGTTCTGTAGGAAAAGGAAGATCTAAATTTTTATCCTTAATATTCAACATTTTCTTTAGATCCTATTTCACAAAATATATTATGCTTTAAAATAAATTAGTAAAAATATTCCAAGAAATAAAAATAAAAATAAAAAATATTATTAATTTATCTTAAATCAAATACTTCACAAATGAATATAGAGATCTTTTTTGTTCTAATAAATCTTGAAAGATAAATTTGCAAGACTTCTCATAATATCAACTTGTTTTTTTTTTTTGATCTAGTAAATGGACAAAACGGAAATATGAAAACAATATCCTCATCGTTGACAAAACCTACTATTGTATCGTCTAATACAGAATCAACAAATGGTGGTAGTGCTTTGTCAACTGAAAAACGAGCACCAATCGTAATGCGCATTCCAAAACTTAACTTTCTAACAAATAAGGTAAAAAAAAAGACAAAATTAAATTTCTTTAATAATTTTTTTTTTATTGAAAATTTTTTTTTGCTTTAGCCGGTTCCACTACAAGATAAATCAATAACAAATCCAACTACAAATTTAATAACACCATTCTCTTCCAAACTTGTTAATAAACCAAATTCAAACCCAATTGTTTTATCAACAACAAAGAATAGTAATTATACCATATCTCCAACAACTTCATTATCAACTGTACAATCGACTTCATCACCATTAAAATTAATCATAAAAGCATCACCAACACTCAATGGACTTGCATCAATTTCAAAGTCATATAATCATTATGATGATGACGATGATGACGATGATGATGAAGATAATGATGATTCGTCTGACTTACAACAACCAGCAACAAAAAGACGACGGATCGATGAATCCGAAATATCACCATCTATATCACAACATCCTCCTTTATCTTCTATTTCTGTTCCTATTCAAGCTAAGACTTCTTCGACTATTACTTCTCAAATAAAATCAATTGATGAACAATCCAATAATTCATCATCATCAACCACAAAACATAAAAAGAAAAAAAAGAAGAAATCTCATAAACATCATCATCATCATCATCATCATCACAAAAATACTCATCATCATCATCATCGCAAACGATCTCGACGGGATAGTGATCGAAGTCAATCACGTTCACCTATTTCATCATCACCATCACAATTAAATTCATCATCACCATCATTAATAACAGATGATCAATATCGACGACATCGAAAACGTAAGAAACATCATCGTCACAAACGATATAATTCACCATCAGCATCGCCATCATTACGCGAGCCATTGTGATAAATGTTTTCGGAATTTTTCTTCTTTGTTTCTTTTTTTCTTCTTTCTGTTTTTTGTAATGCACATTTTCCTATTCGATCGCTCATTATGAATGGAAGAAATTCACCACAATGGTGGATGATATGCAGTGAGCACCACCACTATCATCAACTTTTTCGTACCTTTTTTCTTTCTTTATTTCTCTTTTGTTTGTTGTGTATGCTTCTCCGATATTGCACACATGTGCTCATATTGTTCGCGACGGCTTGTTATCATTATTGATATCATTTTTTATCATCATTGTCCATGTTGTTTGTTGTGGTGGTGCAAATTTCTTTTTGTCTTCTTTTTTTTCGGTCTCTTTTTTTCTGCTTGTTGTTCTTTATGTATGTGTGTATGTGTGTTACTTGTTTATGTATTTCTCTGTTGACATACACACGTGTGTTTGATTAATGCAAAGAAAATAAAAAGAGACAAGTTTTTGATGTTTGTGGAATACGATAGAATATTGAAAACAAAACAAAACAAATTTATTTATTTACATATTATAATTTCGATGATCAATCAAAGAATTTGAATTATAAGAGAAAAAAAATGAACAGGATATATATCATTGAATGTTCAAAGATGAAGTCGATACGTAAAAAATTTAATTAAATTCTTTGATTTAGTTAATAGAATAAATTAACACTTCGATCTACGATACAATAATAATAGAAAAAAGAACAAGTAAAAAAATTTGAATAAGAAGTAACTCGATTATTGCTCATTTTATAGTTACGACATGATTAAGCAAAGGAAGGAAGAATACTCCTGCCTTAAGGCTACTTTGCGATATAAGGTGTTGTCTAGTGACAGATTCAATAGTACGATATCTTTCCTACAACTATGACTAGCAGCTGTAGCTTTGGATAGAAGGCCGATCTGACGCAGAGTTCTTGCGCTCAATTGCTTGAGCTCCCCATACACACTAACTAGTCACAAGAATGAGTGTATGTCACAACGTAATCAGGATGCTATCCGACGGGTGATTCGAGACAAACAGCCGTTAGTGACTTGTCTAAGATCATTTCATAGCTTATGATACAGAGGTTTTATTACAGTACCTTGCAGATATCTGCTGAACAACGTTTTTACCTATATCAAAGATTTTCCACAATAAAGCGATAAGAGCCATTTTATTTTTCATATGATGTTTAATCAATTTATTGTTCACTATAGCATTAGTGAGAACACTAGAAATTGCATGAGATATTCTATTTTATTTTGGTATTTCATCTTGGAAAATTGTGTTGATCGTCTTCTATGCATAGACTAATGACAGAGATAGACTTTTTTTTGTACAATCTCATTCATGCATTGAAGGAGATATTTAATAAATCGTTTTAAAAGCATAGATTTTTAGTGAATCTTTATCTGTACGAAACTCCTACACTTGAAAACAAAGTCAATTATACCACTGAAATACAATAGTTTTGTTGCGTTATAAATAGCAGAATTGAAAAGCTTTCCGTCGTCTGAGCAACAGATTTAGTGCAGATGTCATGAGATACATATCTGATTTTTGCAAGTCACGTCTGTGTTAATAGAAGATGAAATCTAGAACAATACGCTATATCAACTTTCATTTGATTCATTTTTGTTTGGTGAGATACATATTCAGTCTGTTGCTGGAACTACGGAAAGCTTTCTACTTTTGTCATTCATAACGTAACAAAGGTATGAAAGTCAAGTAATGTAATCGGTTTTGATTTCAAGTGTAGGAGTTTTGTACTGATAATGAATCCCTAGAAATCTACACTTTTGAAACAATTTTTGTAAACCATCTTCAATGTGTGAATGAGATCGTACGAGAAAGTCTATCTCTGTCATTAGTCTATATATAGAAGACGACCAACACAATTTTCCAAGTTGAAATATCAATTACAATAGAATATCTCATGCAATTTCTAATGTTCTTACTAATGCTATAGTAAACAATAAATTGATTAAACATCATATGAAAAGTAAAATGTCTTTCATCGCTTTATTGTTGAAAATCGTTGATATATATAAAAAAAAAAGATTGATATTAAACAATTACACAAAGGAAAATTACGATAAAAAGTACTTGTTACATAAAACACAATTTATTCTATTGAATTATATTTCACAAAGAAAATTTTAACTTAGAACAGGAGGACACCAATTTGCAAAGAAAGCAGTTGAATAATTTTGAAAAGATGAAAAACGATATGCTACGATTATATCATCAATAAAGTTTAAACAGATCAATAAATTGCCTCGAAATCTTCTCATTACTATACTAGAGATTATAAATTGTTATCTAATGAAAACCAGATCACTCTAACTCATCTAGTTTTTGAGATATACACAAAATAATATAATATTATCTAGTGCTTCGATAATTTTGACGATCAATTTATGTGTTGGCAATTCCTTTTATATTAACAAAAATGAATAGAATAGAAGTAAAAAAGAAATACATATTCATTCATTTTATTGATTATAGCAACAGTAAGAGATAAAAGAACGAATGATAAGAAAGAATAATATGAACAGTTAGAAATAAATACATAGGTATATTCAGCAATGAATTTCGTTCAACGATCGATTATGAAATCGGTTGATGAGACGGTTTTTTACAAGCTTCCTCGAATGATCATCAAAATAAACATTTATTTCATATAATTAGTAATATACACTTTTGATAGACAATGTTTATTGTTGAAGCCTTATTGAATATCGAAGAAAAAATTTGTTGTACTTTTTCAAGTGCCTAATAATGCACATTCTCAAATGATCTGTAGGGCTTAAAAACATATATTGTGTCGTTGGTTTTAACCACCCAGTTGCGACAGTCATGTTTTGAAACAATCGCCTATAATAAAAGAAGTAGAGATTAGATTCATTGAATTGAATACAGATCCTGTATTCTAAGAATGAGCACAAATCTGCTCAAAAGATTGTCTTGGCATAGATTCGAGAGAAAAACTGACGAGATGATATTATCACACAGGTAATCATAAAAACGTAGTTATTGTATCTTTGAAAATTGCTATTATTAAAGTAAAACTGAGTCATTTGTGTGAAGGAAGTCTGAAAAATAATGGCACAATGTATAATTGATGATAAAATACTTTCATAATAATTATGAAAATATTGTGACCAATCTGATTTATCGATATCTAAACTCGCTCATGCAAATCGAAACCTACATTAATAGTAATTTGTGTTTACTCAGACAATACGTAGGAAGTATGTCACCTTTGTCTAGTCACATATAAAACAGGTACAATGTACATTTGTTTTTTTATTTGAAACGAAACACAATATCAAGCATGCTACGTACAAAGCACACAAATGGGCAATCGAGCATCTCGTCTTCAACAACCGTATTTAATTCATTGGACTAATACTACTGCTTACCTTGTTGTTCAAAATCATACTGTGGGTGGCTATGAACCAGGCTTTTTTGAGTAACTACGAAGCTGTCCTTGTCGAAATGGTAGATCTTCAATAAGAGGCTCCTGCAAATGATGGCGATTCGCTTAAATGATAAGACAATTCAATTATATATTTCAACATTTTATTTTTTTATTTATGTATTATAACTTAAGTTGATGAGGAAAATAGTGTCACATCATTTTCTTATTTTTTTCTTTAATAAATGTTATTAATATCAATTTTTGTTGTATATATATTTTCAAAACGAAAAAATATTGGTTGTGTCTTGAACTAGATGGAAGTTATTTCAATTTTCTTGATGAATAACCATGTTCTGAGAAAAAAAAAGATGAATAAGTTTAGATATCGATTTTTTCATTCAAATCCAGACAAAAACATATCAAAATGAAATATTCAAAATATATTTAAATAGAATTTTTAAAAACTCGTAATAGATGATATAAGCTAGCACTATCTATTGTTCTTAAATTATATAAGAATGTTTATTCAATGCTAATGCAAGCAAAAAGACAGTATACCCAAAACTAAAAAACTTAAAACAAAAACACGAAAATTTGTCAGAAAACAGAGCAGTAGGGTCGAAATTTCTCCCGAAAGTCTGTTAAAATTTGCCCTTTTCTTTTCAACAAGTCATTTACATTCTGAGAGAGAAAACTTCGCTGCATCATTCTGTGATAAAAACTCAATTTTGACTTTTTTTTTTCGAAAAAATGGATTCTCTGAGGAGACTCTTAATATACTCTATCGAATAATGCGAGAATGAGTCAAAACGGAAGTGAACACCTTGGGTATCTGTATTTCCGTCCTCGGATACTAAAATTTCATTAGTATCGTTTCATGTCAAAAATTGTCGTTATGTTATTGAAAATGTCTACTTGTGATTGGTTTTCTCTGGTTATTTACATGAATCGATTGTATCTTAAAAAATGTGTTTTCAATGATGATGAATATGTATAATCTATTGAAAATTATTTTTAATGATCATATTTTTGACGCGATCCCTAATTATGGCCATCATTCAAAGAGAAAAACATGAAGCGGTAGAGAGCATACACCAATCGTCATCGATAGTGTTAGTTCACAACTGATCAAATAATTAGATTGACATAAATAATATTTTCTATAACTAATAATAGATAAGATTGAAAATTTTCATCTTGATATTCTAGAATATCCTTATGTTGACAATGAATCTATTTATATTCTAAATTTAGTTAACAATGATCTTCGACAAATTCTTCAAAAACAGTACATTAAATTGATTCACACTTTGATATGTATTTAAATAGAAAAATTTCTAAAAAACATTTACCACAATTTATTTATGATTCATTCAAACGATCAACAATAAATAAATCGAAAACTTCTCCTTTACTTCCTCCTCCTCAACCATCAATTGGTATAATATAATTTGACTATCATAGATTTCTTTAATATCTATTATAATTTAGAAAGTGAAGAAATAAGCTTAGCTGCTAGTATTATTGACAAAGCAAAACGTACAATTGAAGTAAGTTAAGGTAGGCAAATATATATGTTCTATTCTATACTGTTCTTTTGTTTTTATTTTTTCTGTTCAATAGAATGTTGATGAAAAAAAGCTAAAATAATCATCAACTAGAAGTAAAACAGCTTCGACATCAATCCAATCAAATGCCGTTCAAAATAATCGTTCAAAGACATCTTCATCAGTATGTCCATCTTCAACAAGTTCAAGTATTCCATCATCATCAAATTCGTTGTTGTCTCATAAATAACAACAATCAGTTCGTCATAAAGTATCAGGTGATACAAAAGCATCATTTTTAACTCAATTAGAAGAAAAAACAATGACCTAATTCATCAATTCATAGTGGTACTCAAACTGATTCAAATAGAAAACCATGCACAACAATTCGCTGTATCAGTCAACAACGACAACAATTTTCATCTCCAACTACAGACTCAATCGTTGAACTTTGTCAATAAATAACACCAATACTGTCAATTCCTCCAGAGCAGAATGCAAAAAACTTCAATAATCAATACTCAAAGTAATAATGATATGAATGATGAAATTAGAGTTCCACGACAAACATCTGTTATGATGACTACAGAGAAATCTAAAAATATTTCTCATGAAACAAGTGAAATAGATATATTGCCTGTTCCACAGCTAATTATACTCAACTCAGCGCTAATATGGCAGGTGAATTCAGAATCCAGTTATGATTGGAATAATATTTTGTAATTTTGTAAAAAAAAAAAAAAGAAAAACTTTATTATCAACATACAAAAAAATAAACTTGTTTATTGACAATTTTTCTTTTTTTCTTTTTTGTAGTTTATTCGATGATGGAGATATGCGTATATGGTTATCGTATTGAGAGACAGATATAAACTGTTTATATTTTTTTTTGTGTATTAATTTCAACGTATACCTTTGCTGTATTTGTTTTCGATGCTAGACACGTGACGATATTGAATAAACGATAAAATTTCAATGAAGCGTTAATCATTTTTTTTTCTGCATCGAGGATTATTTTCTCTCTATTTGTTTTCGATGATGGTGACGTGTCCATATTGAATCGCGGAAAAATCCAAGTGATGATGAAACACTTTGTTTTTTTTCTTCATTTAATATACGTTACCACTGTATCTATTTTTGGTAATGTGACTGTGGCGATATTGAATGAAGAAAAAAAATCCCAATCATGATAAAATATTTCGGTTTTTTTCTGCATCGAATATATATTTTTGCTGCATTTGTTTTTAATTATGAAAACGTGATCGATTTGAATGATTGGTTAGATTGCAATTATTAATAAATAGGTTGGTTTTTTTCAATTGAGATAGACAGGAGTTTGGTGAAAATGTTTATTTGAGCGGTCATAATCCGCAATTGATTGGATTACTCCATTACAATAATTATTTGTCATACACATTTGAAAGACACAAAATATTTATTGAGTTTTATACCATTTGACACGATTTTTATATCAAGTTTATCAATATAAGATTACATTTCAGCAGTGGCAGATCTACGATTTTGAAAGAGGAAGAAAAAAGATCATAAACAAAAACACAAAAGGAATCACTTAGTTTGTTTTATTAGTAAAATAAATAAATAAATAAATACTTATGTACCAATACTTATTCATTATTTTTTTTATTTGTTGTGGTTAATGTAGCAATTTTTTTATAAACTCTTGTTCAAATGAATTCTATCATTTTATTTATGAAGCTTTATTCTTATTATTAGAAAAATTTTACTTTCACAGGATGTTTTCCTATTTGTTGATGTATTCAAAACTCAAGTGAGTTTTCATGCAAATTGCGACACTTCATTGAACAATTATGTCATTTATAGAAATGAAATCAAAATCTTCGTTTACGATTAAAGCTTGAACATAGTAAACGATCGACATCATCATTATCATCTGCATTTATTAATCGTTTAAATGAATAAGTAATCTCATATAAATAAACATACTTTTTTAATAAGATCTTTTCTTTTCTAGATTCATTCACCAATGAGCACAAACGAGATAAATATATCCAAAAATTGAAATATTACTTCATTTATCCATCAACCTCCAGCCTATTGTATATGATCTTTTTGAAAAATTCTATGTTCATTTTAAAACAAGACAATTTACTGGGATATATTTCAAATATTTTTGTAGCAACTTTTAATGGCCTTGAAGACATAATAAAACGTGTAAATACATTGAAATATTTTCTTCATCAATATCATCTTTTGTTTACTTCAGATAGTAACATTCCTGTTTCTCTTAACAAAAAATTTGTCTTAAAACTGTGAATTTTTTCGCAAATTTCTATGACTATAAAACTCTTATATTTCAAATCAAAACTGATTATATCAATTAACATATATACCTTTGATAAGTTCGAAATAGCAGAATTAAAAAACTTTTTCCTTAGTCTTAGCAACAATCTTAGCACATATATCATAAAATACATATATAATTTTTGTGCTGCGACACATGTGCGTAAATAGAGAATCAAATTTAGAACAGCGTCCTTTATCACCTTTAATGTCAAACATTTTTTTTTCATGACGTACACATTCAGTGTGTTGTCCGTAAAGGACACTTTTTTCTATTGCTATTTATAACTCAACAAAGATATTCAAGTTCAGTGATATAATCGATTTTGATTTCAAATATAAGAGTATCATATAGATACTGATTTCCTAAAAATCCACACTTTAAAAAAAAACATTTTCTACATCCTTCAATGAATGAATGAGACCATACAAGAATGTCTATGTGTGATTAGTCTACACATTGAAAACGGGCAAGATAATTTTCCAACATGAAATAGCAATGCGAATAGAATATTGCATGTAATTTGTAGTGTTCTCATTAATACTATATTGAACAATAAATTGATACAACATCATATGAAAAAAAAAATCGTTTGTCGAATTCTTCAAAATCTTCAGTGTAGATCAAAAGGATAATATTATTAAACCATTACACAAAGGAAGACTACGATAACACGTACTTGTTACATAAAACACAATTTATTCTGTAGAATCATGTTTCACAAAGAAAATTTTAAGTCACAACAGGAGCGCACCAATCTGCGAAAAATCCAGTTGAATAACTTTCGGTAGACGAAAAACGACATGCTATGATTGTATCATCAATAATATTTAAACAGACCAATCAGTATACTTGGTATCTTCTTATTACTATACTAGAGACTATGGACTATAATCTGATAAAAATCCAATCATTCTAGCTTATCTAGTTTTTGACGTACATACAAAATAAAATAAAATAATCTAGTGCTTCGATCATTTTGACGCTCAATTTATGTATTCGTCATTCATTTTATATCAATAAAAATGAATAGAATAGAAGTAAAAAAGAAATATTACATATTGATTCATTTTATTGATTGTGCTAGTAGTAAAAAATAAAACAATGAACGATAAAGAAGATTAATATAGACAGTTGAAAAAATAGAATAAATAAGTATATTGAGCAATAGATTTTGTTTAATGAACAGTTATTATATGAATTGATGAATAGTTTGCTTGGAAACTTCCTTGAATGATCATCGAAATAAACAATTATGTCATATGATTAATAATATACACATTTGATAGGTGATATTTCTTGTTCAAGTTTTATTGAGTATTGAAAAAAAAAACTTGCTTTACTTTTTCAAGTGCCTAATAGTGCAGTCTCAAGTTATTTAAAGAACTCAAAACATATATATATATAATGTCTTTGATTCTGATTACGCAGATAAAATGATCATGTTTCTAAACGATCGTCTACGATCAAAAATGAAAATCGGATTGATTAACTTGAATACAGATGCTGCACTGCAAAGAATGACAACAAATCTGCTAGAAGGATTGTTTTGGCATAGATTGATCAAAAAATCAAAGAGACAATATACAATCACACAGCTAATCGGGGAAAACCAAGTTAGTTTACGTTTGAAAATTATTTCTAATAAAAAAAAACCGCGTCATTTGTGGGAAGCGCATGATCTAAATAATGACGTAGTGTATAATTGGTGTTGATCATTTTCATGACAATAATAAAAATATGGCGACTAATCTGGTTTATAAATATCTCGACTCATTCATGTGCAACGAAAGCTGTTTAATGATAAATTATGTTTACATGAGTAATAGGTAGGAAGTATGTAGTATCTTTCTGCTTATATAAAAGCAGTTACATTTTAGTCGTTTGCATTCAACACTAAGCACAGTATCAAGTTTCCCGTGTGCAAAACATAAAAATGGGCGGCCGATCATCGCGCTATGCAATTGTGTATCCAGCTTATTGGGGTCCTTCACATTATCATTATCCTCGTCGCCGTTCTTCATACTATTATGGGTATCCAGGATACTATTATGGATATCCACAATACTATTATGGGTATCCAAGCTATTACTATGGATACTACCCATATCTGCCATATTACTGGTGGTAACGATTCATTTAAACAATAAGACAATCCAACTATAGACCTGAATACTTTATTCTATATCTTCTTATAATAACTTATCCTTTTATAATAACTTATCTTTTTACACTAACTTATCTTGTTGAGGAAAACCATGAGATATTATTTTCTTATTTCCTCTTAAATAAATGCTTAATCTTGATTTCTGTTGTACATCAATAATCTATCGGACAATAACAATCATACAAATAATATTTCACACTAAAAAGAGAAATACTTGAGATGTATACTTCTATTTTGTTTCATTTATAGACCATTCGATGGAATATATTCAGATAAGAAAAAGCTTACAGGAATTGGAGCCTATGGCATAGTGACAATACGTTACGACCGCTTTGCTGTAATTTTTATTGATAGCTAGGCAATCCGAAAAGGCCAAAATGAAGAATTTCTACTTGAAATTGTACCTATAGATAGATTTAATAGTCTTTAGATATTCCTGCAATTTTCAACGAGAAATGAACATGTCTTTCTCGAAGTGTTCAATTTTAAAATACAGTCGTTTTCTACAGGAGAACATAATAATCTATTCTACTTGACAGTCAATTATCTCTACGAAGATATCTTTGCTTTTGTTGAAACATTCAGGCATATCCAGTAACTGTGAAATCCGTCTATAGGTAAAATTTCAGGTAAAAGTTCTTCATTTTGATTTTCTCGTAATGTCTGGCTCTGAGCGAAAGTTTCAGTAAAACAGCAGTATCTTCTCAGCAATGTATGAACTCGAACCCTTTTATGGTTTCTTTTATCTCAAAATATTGTATCGAGTGATTTATGAAAAAGTCAAAACGAAATTGAGCATCTTTGATACCTGTATTTTCTTCATCAGATGCAAAAATTTCATAAATATCAATTCATATAAAAAATAATCATGTTGTTATTAAAAATGTATACTTATGGTTATATTTTTCTTGTTATTTAAATGAATCAATTGCATGTTGAAAAATATTTTTTGAATGATGATGAATATGCATAATCTACTGAAAACTTTTTTTGTCATAGTGATATTATTGAAAAAATCAGCTAATATCACCATCTTTCAAATAGAAAAAGATGGACTAGTACAATGCAAAAGACGAATTATCATCAATACTATTAGTTCACAACTGATCAAACAATTAGATTGACTTAAATAATATTTTCTATAACTAATTATGGATAAGATTGGAAATATTTATCTAGATATTCTGGAACACCTTTATGTTCTCAATGAATCTATTTATATTCTAAATTTAGTTGACAATAATTTTCGACAAATTCTTCAAAAACAGCATGTTGAATCGATTCATACTTTTATACATATTTAAATAGAAAAATCTTTGGAAAATATTTACCCTAATTTATTTATGATCCATTCAAACAATTAACAATAAATAAATCAAAAACTTCTCTTTCACTTCTTCCTCCCCAACGACACCAATTGGTACAATACAATTTACCTATCATAGCTCTCTTTAATATCTATTATAATTTAGAAAGTGAAGAAATAAGCCTAGCTGCTAGTATTATTGACAAAGCAAATCATACAATTGAAGTAAGTCAAGGTAGGCAAATATAGATGGCCTATTCTATACTATTTTTTTGTGTTTTTGTATTCAATACAACATTGGTGAAAGGAAGCTAAAACAATCATCAAGTGAGATAAGAACAGCTTCAATATCAATCCAATCGATTACTATTCAAAATAATCGTTAAAAGATATCTTCATCAGTACGTAAATCTTCAACAAGTTCAAGTGTTCCACCATCATTGGATTTGTCGTTCTGTACGAGCTCATATAAAAGCACGAATTTTAACTCAACCAGAAGAAAAAAACGACGACTTAGTTCATGAATTCGTAATTGTACTCAAATTAAGTCAAATAAGAAGCTATGCACAAAACTTCGTTCTACCAGTGAACAGTGACAATAATCCTCATTTTTAACTACAAACTCAATCGTTGAAGTTTCTCAACAAATGAAACCAATATTGTCAATTTCTCCAGAGCAGAATGAGAAAACTTCAATAATCATTAATGGAAATAATAATGATATGAATGATGAAACTATAGCTCTAGGATTTATATTATTCGATAAGATATAAGATAATAAACTAATTGCAAAGTATACTAATTCGCCAATCATTTTATTTAGTTT